CATTCAGACTCCGGCCTGTACCAAGAGGAGTGCTGGACTGAGGGCCAAGTGACTCATGAGAAACACTTCACAGTTACTGTTTGTGGTTCCATAGATAGGACCAGGCCTGAATACATGGAAGATGAAGAAACAATAGACCTGCCTTGTGATGGAGCAGCTGACCACCCGGATGTCCAGTGGCTCAAACGGGATTATCGACCTGAACAGAAAACATGGACCAGAGTTTTTGGGGACGATACGGCATCAGTGATGGACAATGATAGAGGAAGATACCAAGTGGTGAAGAACACATCAGCTCTACGTATATCCAACATCTCACCAGCTGACCTCGGAGGATACATCTGCCTGCTGATGAACCAACAGCAGTGTGTTCGCAGTCAGACTGTAGAGTATGAGCTGGACTTTGAGAGGATCTATCACTCAGTGGAAGACACGGTTGTGTTGCAGTGCCCTGACACTGGTTTCAATAAAGAGAAGCCTCCAGATTGGACTAGACTCAACAACATTGACCAAGAAGAACATAACCTCTCTGGGTCTTTAGTGGACCAGAACTACTCTCTGGTGTTAACATCGGTAACGTTAAATCAAACAGGTCGGTACTCTTGTAAAACCTTAAATGCTGTGAAAATATATGTGCTGGTGGTGTGCCCCAAATTCCCCCCCCCTGCTGTAGAGCTCTTCTCAGGGGGAGAAGAAGTCACTCTCAGATGCAAAGATAGGGAAAAAGGTCAGCATCACGCTTGGTTCTTTAAGTCGAACCGAACCAAAGGAAGAACCATTTTTATGTCTTATCATCGGATCAGTAGCAATGTGCGCGGGTACCCTGATGGGAGATTGGTGATTTCTGATGTCTCTCTGCAAGACACAGGAGAGTATTGGTGTGTAGTTACTGACAGAAATGTTCCGTGTCTGTCTTCAACCAAGACCCTCCTGTACAGAGACCCCTTTGGGGTTCACTCCACCTTCTACGCAGTGAGATGCTCAGCGCTCAGTGTTCTGCTGCTGATGCTCTGTGTTGCTGTAGTCACTGTGACCCTGAGGACCAGAACACGGGACACTTAATATGCATCTGTTCATTTCACTTCCCTCTGTCCTCGTCCTCTTTCATACAGCGGCTCAGAAACAGGATTTAAACACTGGATGTTAGACATTCATGCAAACACAACATCTGAGTCTGATCACGAGAGAGAGAGAGAGAGAGAGAGAGAGAGAGAGAGAGAGAGACAGAGAGAGAGAGAGAGAGAGAGAGAGAGAGAGAGAGAGAGAGAGAGAGAGAGACAGAGAGAGAGACAGAGAGAGAGAGAGAGAGAGAGAGAGAGAGAGAGAGAGAGAGAGAGAGAGAGAGAGAGAGAGAGAGAGAGAGAGACAGAAAGAGAGAGGTTACAGAGACGGCAACATGTAACATCATTATTATTATTAATATTATTTCGGTTGATAAATGATTTGACAGTTTTAAAGATAGAAAAGTGAAACTTCAGAAAGTAAATAAATTATATAAACACCCAAAATATAAATATCCCATAATAACAACAGAGAAAAGAGGGTTTTAAATGTTGAAAGTAAATAAAGATATTGTTATTAATATAAACATATATTTAGTTTTGTATGAATATATTCTTGTATATTGTAAATATATGTGTGTTTTGCTCTTCTTGTAAAGACTTGTGATGTTAGGATCCCTGCTCCGCTCTGCTCCGTGTTGTTTTCATAGATATTGTTAAATGTTCACTTATCAACCTTTTAAACATCGCTTTCACATTCAATGATTTTAATCCCCTTATTTTTAATCCTGTGTTTTTATTCTGATGTTTTATTTCAAATCAAATAATTGTGATTTTCTTTGAATTCGATGTGAAAGAATGTGATTTATGTTTGATGCATTTCATAAGTCCTGTACCTGTCATGGTGTCAGTGTTATATCATGTGTTCTCACACCTTGGTATATATATCTATCAGTTATCAAGTGTCTGTATAATAAAGATTACAAATAACCAATCAAACCTGGAAGACCCTTCTTGCTGTTTTGTGATCATTATAATATTATTATTTACAACAGAGCTTTTCAAATGACTAACTCTTATTCAAAAGTAACGTCCACAAAGTCGATGAAATGATGAATCCTTTCCCTCCTATCAGATGCTTCTCTTTGTAACGAGGCCACACTTCAGCCCATTATGATTATAATGTATTATTCTTATTCATTTTCTCTCTGTGCTTTTATTTAAGTACTTGTTATGTAAGCTGAGATAAACACAGATATCTTTCTACATGATTAAAGTCAGATTGTTGCCCCCCATGGAGAGATGTTTGTTATATGCTCAGTAACTACTCTGCACACATTAGAGTACGTTAGAGGGGAAGGGGCTCAAATGCATAAAAGGGCACATTGGAGATATTTGTTCATCATTTAATAAAAATGTGCCTATTTTTTGTGACAGTTAATATTGAAATGTTTGTATTGAAAACAAACCCATGACTAAGGTGGGTCCAAACACTGCTTCGTGACAGAATTAAATGCAAAGAAATGAAGTGTATTTGAGTCAATTCTCCTCGATAAGTATCTCAACTTTGACCCTCTGACGCACAGAAGCTCGTTCTCTCTTCTGTGTGTCAGATCTTGGACTTGAGTAAAAGTACCTGAGTGTAGGAATACTCTGTTACAGTAAAAGTCCTGCATTCTTAAGTACAGTACTTTGTAAATGCACTTAGTTACTTTACACCTCTGATTTGAACTGAATATAAACTGATGGTTCTGTGAGTTGTGAACAACATGAAGGAGGAGAGATTCTCTCTGTCTGGATTTTCTGCAGATGAAATGAAATCCTTGCAGATTTTCCTGGATTTAACTTCTTAAAAACATGTTTATTCCTTAATGTAATCCTCATTAAAGGTCAATGTGAGAGATTTATGAGGATGTTGATATATTCAGATTACAATACCCTGTTAAAGAAGAATACAGGGTTTGTTGTTGTGTTTTCTCTGCTATTATTGGGTTATTTTTAGTTTGAAAAGACGACAATTGACCCTCGAATAGAGCTGTTACTGGGGAAAGGGCTCTCTAGCAGGGACTGAAAAGCGGGTCAAAATGGTTCTGATGCACTCATTTAGTTCCTGGGGCTTTTTGGTGTGAACGCAAATATATCGTAGTTCTGATGAACTATTGTGGGAAAAGTATTCCGGTGTGAACGCGCCATATGTTGTGCTGATGTGAACTTTATGAGCTCATTGTGCTTTAATGTTTAGGTGGAAAATACAAAAGAGCAGGGCCGTGGTAAGTAGGGGTGCTCAGGGTGCTGCAGCGCCCCCTGCTGGAGGACAGGGAATCTGCACGTCCACAAGATTACATGGAAATATAATACAAAAAAAACAAATGTTCGGCCTTGATGTTCACATTCATAATTAAGTAAAGATAACACCCTTTTCACCCCGGTTACATTTTCCATGTGCCCTGAGAGGCTCAGTGAGGTAAAGGACTCTGAGTGTTTAGACAGTTCACTTTAGTCTAAGTTATCTCAGTGGGTCTCAAACGGTTTGATCACAATTTATGTAAACAAATATTTCCAAGGCACACCTTTATAATTATTAGGATAAATAAAAACAGGTTTGAAATCATTCCAATGTATATTATAGAACAGTAAACCAACAATATCCTTTAAAACTGGAGAGATTAAAAAATATGGATAAATAAATAAATAAATGTTAACTGGTAAAATAAGATATAAATGAACCAGCAAAAATCTTGCCTATGGCAGCAAACTGGTCAGAACCGGCCCTGGTGTCATCCCCACAGCACCCCCCATTTGAAACATGTTCCCACGGCTATGCAAAAGAGGATTACTAGGGCCGAATGATCCCAGCAAGGAAGCCGAAATGTGTCGCTTTTTAGTTCTCTTTACATGCAGCGTAGCTTTATTAGTCTTTTTGTGTTTTCTTAATGGTAGTTTTCCCCATTTTCATAGTTGTTTAGTTTTTCTGTGGTCATTTTGTGAGTCCTCTTAGTCAGTTTGAGTCTCTTAATAGCAATTCTGAGTCACATTATAGTCAGTTTGAGTCTCTTCGTGGTCATTTTAAGTCGCTTTATAGTCTTTTTAAATCACATTATAGTCAGTTTGAGTCACTCTATAGTCATTTTGATGGCGCATTTCCACTGCAGCACGGTTTAAGCGTGCCGTGCCAAACCAGGCCCGTTTTCTTTGCTTTTCCACTTGGGCTCGTTCCGGCTCAGGGCTACTTTTTCACCTTTTTTCTGGCCCTCCAAAATCGAGGTTCTTACCGGGCCAACAACCGGGCTGAATTTGCTAAACTAGTGACGTAAACACTCGACTGCTGATTGGTCAGAGAGAATCGCTGGCAAGAGGGCTACAACTACAACACAATGAACATATTTGACCGTGATTTAATTGTAATACACGTTTCAAAATGATGCCGAAGTAACAACATACTGATACCGGTTAGTAAAAACCATGAATTAATGCTTTGACAAGTCTGCAGACAGACGGCAGGAGAAACACCTTTTAAAATGCGTGTTTTCTGAATGGAGATCGGCTAAGCTACGTAAGGAAGTTGTTGTACATGAGTTTTGGTCTTAATATGCTCAATATGCAGTAGAAGTACCACAAGAATAGTAATTCTCCCATAATAACACCTAACAAATGTGGTCTACTCTTATGTAACAAGACATGAAACTACAAGTGGCAATTGTGTCAAAATAACTTAAAATCAGGTATTTCTAACTCAGAATATGTTCACTAATAAGCTAGTAGTCTGGCTCTAATATGCATGTTAGTTAACAGCTAGTTGATGGTGAATATGTGTACCTTAATAACACTTATCATGAACTAGGAAATATTGAAAACATGGGAAATAATCTTTAATATTTCAAAATAAGTTGACAATATCTTTGAAAATCCTCCAGTCACGTTACCTCACCAAAGAGAGTGTTTGAATGTACTCTTTTGTAACCCCTCTCTCTTCCTCTCCTCCCCTCTTCCTCTGTGCAGGGAGGCGAACTTTAAGAACTTCACCCTCCTGCAGCTGGACGAGGAGTTTTCTCGCGGACGGGGCCTAGACGTCGGGGCTCGAGCCTGGAAAGGAGGAAACGTTCTGCTCTTCTTCTGCGACGTCGACATCTACTTCACCGCCGACTTCCTGAACTCCTGCAGACTCAACACGCAGCCTGGTGAGACTAACTATAACACTTTAGACATTTAAAAGACTCACAGGCAGAGAGGGCAACAGTACACACATCCTTTACTCAAGTAGAAGTACAGATACTCGTGTTTAAAAATACTCTGGTGAAAGTAGAAGTACTGACTAAACTTCTTTACTCAAGTCAAAGTAAAGAGGGCTTTGAAATGTACTTCAGTAAAAAGTACCCATAACTAGCAGCTGTTTTAAAGAGTACCTGACCTCCCTTTATATTAATAGAACAATAATGTCATTGTTAGCTAATGAATGTTTCCATGCTGAACAACGGCAACATGACAACGTTTTCATTGGTCCCTCTTCTTTAGAGAAGACCAGGAAATGATGGATACACGGATCGTGTTCAAATCAATAGGCACGCAATGACTCTAAATAATAATGATCACGCCACCAAACACACATTCAAACTAAAGGAACCAGCCTGTTTGGAAAATGTGAGAAGTAGAAAGTACAGGTATTTGTGTTCAACATGTAAGAAGTAGAAAGTACAGGTATTTGTGTTCAACATGTAAGAAGTAGAAAGTACAGGTATTTGTGTTCAACATGTGAGAAGTAGAAAGTACAGGTATTTGTGTTCAACATGTAAGAAGTAGAAAGTACAGGTATTTGGGTTCAACATGTGAGAAGTAGAAAGTACAGGTATTTGTGTTCAACATGTAAGAAGTAGAAAGTACAGGTATTTGTGTTCAACATGTAAGAAGTAGAAAGTACAGGTATTTGGGTTCAACATGTGAGAAGTAGAAAGTACAGGTATTTGTGTTCAACATGTAAGAAGTAGAAAGTACAGGTATTTGTGTTCAACATGTAAGAAGTAGAAAGTACAGGTATTTGTAAGACAGAAGATATCGTTGATAGAGGGCCATATGTCCATTTACCATTTAAACAAAGGCAGCCAATGGATGCGTTTCAGGCAGGGGATCACAGGGAATTTAGCCTCTGCAGACCATTTACATGCACTAAAACCTAAATAACACACCAAAGGAAAGGGAACATCCTAAAAAGCATAATAGGGCCTTTTTAATATACCCATCTCTTGCAGGACGGTTGCATTTCTGTTTGTTTTAGTGTATTTAATTAACTTAGAACACAGCTTATGGGTTCTAAATACGTGTTCTTTCAAAATGAGTGAAGGTTTGGAGCTAATTGTTGTTGATTTTCACAAAATAGAGAATTATATCCGTTTTCTTAGTGTAGTTTAACCTTCAAACCACTAGATGGGGTCAGTGTTGTGATAATAATGTTCCTATATCTTCCTGTTTGTTCCTGAGGTGTGCACGTCTGTTAATTAATATATTAAAATACTGCAATTAGTGTACATTTACTGAGGTAAGTCTTTACAGTAAAGTTTATTTAATAAAATGTATAAAAGATTCTGACAAATAGGGTAATATTGAGTTTTTAAATGCTCGTTTCCTGCATAAAAGGAAAAATCCGAATCAAAATCAACGTCGTTGCTAATCATTGACCTATCAAACAATGTGAAAGATAAATAAGAATTCTTAAAAACAATTGAATTATGTAGACTAACTAGTAATTAGGGGAATTCAATACCTAAACTAAATTAATATTAGTATATAGTAAATAATGAACATATAAATAAATAATAATAATTAATAATGTTTTGTGTTATCTTCTTGAAAAAAAAATGAAAATAAGATAGTGTCAAAATTCTAAAAATTAAATAAAGATGAGTTCACAAACCAGGATACTACCCAATTTTCCCACTGGCCCCTGAACGCACCACCAGGGCCGCGCAGCCTCCATCGACACCGGATTTTTTCGGGTTAGTTCCGCGTGCACCCTCAGACACCGGCTACACACACACACACACCGAACCGGGAACAGGTGTGTGTTTTTCACGACAATCTTCCGGTGTGGGTTCGTTTGTTTTACTGACGCGTCGTGCGGAGTTATCAGCTGTTCTGCCAATCCCCGCCTTGAAACACAATAAAAAAAACAACAACAAATGCTCCTCTTGATGTGTCCTGCAGTTCCGTTGCTTCTTCTCCAGGGTGCGGACGGGTTATTGTGTTTTTGCACCATTTGCTGACATTTTTCTGATCGGAAATAAACTCCACCCCCACCCACCTTACTGCCGCTGTTCGTACCCGGAGAAGAGGCTTCATTTGCGGCAGAGACAGACAGGAGGCAACATGTTCGAGGCGAGAGGAATCCCCTTCGTGCTGCTCGACATAACATGTCTCATCCTGGGTATGTTCTTTCATTTATATTCTGTATTATTTACTCACTGTGTGCCGCAGCTGTAATCCGATTTAAAGGGTTGATATTTAATCCTACTGTTTGGATAGTGGTGGAGAATGGGAGTTTATTTTAACCTCTAATTGAACCACTAATCTAATATAATGTGTGTTTTATTTGTGATAGTGTGTGGTGTGTTTTTGAAGTGTTTCCCCTTCATTACTGTTCATTATTACCTGTGCGTTGTTTCCTTTCTATTCAAATGAGTGCGGCTCCAAAGTCTGTTGGAGTTCAGCACTGTCAGATGTTTAGAGGCACTTAAGGGTTAAAAATTAAGCTTTTTATTGAGTGCAACTGAACGTGATAATGCAGTATAGAGCACTGTGAGTTCCTATCATCCACAATATATTCATTTTTATTGAAGGTATATCTTAATGCTAATTTATTTGACATAAAACAAGCTTTTATATGGAATCTGTCTTCTCGTTTTATAGTGTATCTATTGTTAATTACATTGATAGTTATACCCTGTTTTATTCCCTTTGCTTTGAAATACATACTTGTTTTATGTTTTGGTCATGTATGAACTTTGCCTTTTAAAATGAGCTTTATTTAAATAGACTTATATTTGAGTTCTTGTGTTTAAAAGTTAAACACACTCTTTTTTTAAATTTATTTTGGCAATTGGTACATTTGTAATACTGTTTACAAACTGGTTGCAGGAGCTGTCCCTCACTGAAGTCCTTCTTAGTCAAACTTCTCTGTTTTTACCATAAGTTTCTTAGAAATAAGTCTTTCAGTAAACAGAGAGGTGTAGAAGTACTCAGATGTTGTACTTGAGTAAAAGTACTCAGATCTTGTACTTGAGTAAAAGTAGAAGTACTCAGATATTGTACTTGAGTAAAAGTACTCGGATCTTGTACTTGAGTAAAAGTAGAAGTACTCAGATATTGTACTTGAGTAGAAGTACTCAGATCTTGTACTTGAGTAAAAGTAGAAGTACTCAGATCTTGTACTTGAGTAAAAGGAGAAGTACTCAGATCTTGTAGTAAAAGTAGAAGTGCCAGAGTGTAGGAATACTCTGTTACAGTAAAAGTCCTGCATTCAAAATGTTCCTCAAGTGAAAGTAGAAAAGTATTATCATCAAAATATAGTGAAAGTAGCGACAGTAAAAGTAGTCATTGTGCAGATTGGTCCATTTCAGAATAATATATATGATATGTTTTATAATGATTGATCATGAAAGTGTTCTCAAAGCTGGTAAAGGTGCAGCTAGTTTGAATGACTTTGTATACTGCAGGGTAGCTTGTGAATGCGGTTCTGCTTTTCGATTCCGGTTCTTTGAGAGGGTAAAAATAAGTCCCATGACAAACTGGGAGAAAAATATATTTATGAAAACATTAAGTCAAATCTGTATTCCTATTTACAAATCACTTCATACTGTTTAATTTGGTCACGGTTATTGAATACAATTATATAAAAATAATTGTTTAGTTAGTTCCAAGTGGTGCAGTTTGAGAATGTACAGTTGTCCCAGTCTCCTCTGATGTTACACTGCAACCTGCCTGTGACCAGTCCAACCACAGTCTGTCCAACACATGTCCTGCAATACACATGCTGAAGCTGCTCACTGTTTGTAAAAGTAAATAAATAGTATTATCATTTCATTAATGTACTTTCTATACCCTGCTTCATAAACAATACTGACATCCCTGTGCTCCTCCGAGTCTGGGGGTCCGGGGATGTGAGGACAGCGCGAGGACACAGACAGGGAGACTGCTTTACTTCAAACCCTGCTGAAAAATACAGCTTAGACCAATCAGCCTGACCAGCCAGTGGATATTAGGCTGGAATGGTTGGCTGGTTTAGAGGGGTTTGGGACACTTTAGCTGGCCAGGGTGGCTGGTTTAGCTGGTGCACCAGCTAAACCAGCCACCCTGGCCAGCTAAAAAAACAGCATAGCCCAGCATAGCCCAGCATAGTATGCTGGTCTATGCTGGTCTATGCTGGTCTATGCTGGTCTATGCTGGTCTGGTCACCAGCATCCATCGATCACCAGCTTATGTTTAATAATAGTATTTAATATACCATGCTGGAAGCTGACCAGCATACATTAAATACTGGTATGATTATTTCAACCAGAGAACATACATATATTACAAAGATTCATTGTGTCATGTATTCTGGTATCTACCTAACTAAAGACATTGTTAAGTGTTCATTACAGTATTTTAATTTAATAAATAGCTAGTTAATATAATAAAATACACAGTAACAATACAATAATTATACAAATAACAACCAACCTGCAAATCAACCTATACATCAAAAATAAATATATTATCTAAAACCAGTGCATTTGATTTAAAATAAGTGATAAATAGAATTCAATATTTAAATGGTAACAAAAACAGTAACACTATGTGTGATAATAAAAAGGCAACAAAGAAAGTGTTTTTTGTTTGTAAGAAATACACATTTTAACGAAGATATTGAATACATTGAGTACTCTACAATATACCATCTCTCTAAACGACAGGAATATATAGATATACAGACGCATAATGGCTTTATGTAGATTATTACCTCTTTTATCAGAGAAGTGAAAGTGACTTTCGTGCTCAGTGTGTTTCTGCTCCAGCTGTTGCAGAGCATCAGTTTAAAAATGGCTCAGCTGACGGAGACAACAGCTGCAGAGAAGACGGCATGAAAAACTACTTCCTGTGTTTCAAATGGGTCGTTAATATACAGCCAGAGGTGGAGAAGTACTCAGAGCATGTACTTGAGTAGAAGGAGAAGTACTCAGATCTTGTAGTAAAAGTAGAAGTACCAGAGTGTAGGAATACTCTGTTACAGTAAAAGTCCTGCATTCAAAATGTTCCTCAAGTAAAAGTAGAAAAGTATTCTCATCAAAATATAGTTAAAGTAGCGACAGTAAAAGTACTCATTGTGCAGATTGGTCCATTTCAGAATAATATATATGATATGTTTTAGAATGATTGATCATGAAAGTGTTCTCAAAGCTGGTAAAGGTGCAGCTAGTTTGAATGACTTTGTATACTGCAGGGTAGCTTGTGGATTTACTCCAGGTGGAACTAAAGTCTGATTTAACACTTGATTATATTTCACATCATTCATCCACATCTGTGAAGTAACTAAAGGTATAATGTTACAAAGATGGCCTCAGTGAACTCTGTGATCCTCTAACATCATAAACTTCTATCTGACAGGTTTGAACACCGATGATGGAACCCTCTCCTCTTTTTGTCTCCCTCTCTCTGTGTCTGTGTCTGTGTCTAACTGCTCCCGATGTCTCGCTCCACAGGGGGTCTGCCTCTGGCGGCCTTTAACCTGGGTAAAGTGGTCCCCTACCAGAGGGGCTTTTTCTGTACCGACGACAGCCTCAGATACCCGTTCCACTCGAGCACGGTCACGTCCACCGTGCTCTACACCGTGGGCCTCACGCTGCCCATTAGCTGCGTAAGTAGGAGGCGTTCAATGACTCAAGTTGGCTCGTTCATCGCAGATGGAGAAACATTTGCACTTTGAGGTGGTCTATGAGCTCATACACATGTAGGAAGGGGGCGATATGAACAGTTTACGTCAGGGGTGTCCAACTAAATTTCATCGCGGGCCACATTAGTTTTATGGTTGCACTCAAAGGGCCGGTTGTAACTTTAAGACTATATAAATATACATATTTAAATATATAAAATAATGTATTATATTACATTATTGCCTCTGCATTGGATTATTATCGGATAGGGTAATAACTTCATAATTAACTACGACTGAAAGCAGAAGTCTAGGGCAAATAATTGCAAGTATCTCCAGTGGGGATGTCACAAAATGAGATGCATTGTGGGACATGTAGTTTATGGGCATCGTGACTATATTTTGGATTTTTGCCCCGATTTAAATCCTATATATATTTATACATATCGTCCCTTCCACGTGTGAAGCAACCACTTTCTTTCCCTTTTTTTTTTTTTTAACTAGACTTCCTGCGATGGCGAGTCAACTTGCGAAATAACGAAATCAAATAAAAAGTGTAATGCAGGATGTGTTCAGCTCCCTGTGGGATAAGAATGACTCAGTTTCTTGGTTTTGAACGCAGAAATGAACAGTAGGTTTGATTTAGCTGACCTTCATAGAAGCTCTGAAGGGTGTGTTGGAACAGCTGAAGGCAAAGGAGGATGTCCACTTGTTACACACACACACACACGCACACGCGCACGCACACACACACACACACACACACACACACACACACACACACACACACACACACACACACACACACACACACACACACTTCCCTCAACACATTACTTTGAGTCTCACAGCCTCAGTCATAGGGCCAGAATCTATTGGTATACAAATGGGGAAATACTTTAAAAAAGGGAAGAGAAAAAGTACATACTGAACATCAGCAGGAGAGGACTCTTTAAAGTAGAGACACTACTGATATACACCTGAACATCAGCAGGAGAGGACTCTTTAAAGTAGAGACACTAAATACTGATACACACCTGAACATCAGCAGGAGAGGACTCTTTAAAGTAGAGACACTACATACTGATATACACCTGAACATCAGCAGGAGAGGACTCTTTAAAGTAGAGACACTACATACTGATATACACCTGAACATCAGCAGGAGAGGACTCTTTAAAGTAGAGACACTACATACTGATATACACCTGAACATCAGCAGGAGAGGACTCTTTAAAGTAGAGACACTACATACTGATATACACCTGAACATCAGCAGGAGAGGACTCTTTAAAGTAGAGACACTACATACTGATATACACCTGAACATCAGCAGGAGAGGACTCTTTAAAGTAGAGACACTAAATACTGATATACACCTGAACATCAGCAGGAGAGGACTCTTTAAAGTAGAGACACTACATACTGATATACACCTGAACATCAGCAGGAGAGGACTCTTTAAAGTAGAGACACTAAATACTGATATACACCTGAACATCAGCAGGAGAGGACTCTTTAAAGTAGAGACACTACATACTGATATACAACTGAACATCAGCAGGAGAGGACTCTTTAAAGTAGAGACACTAAATACTGATATACACCTGAACATCAGCAGGAGAGGACTCTTTAAAGTAGAGACACTACATACTGATATACCTGAACATCAGCAGGAGAGGACTCTTTAAAGTAGAGACACTACATACTGATATGAAGAATAAGGTCAGTTTTTAAGAGAAGAGAGATAAGGAAGAACCATCCAGTGTCACTTTCTTGGAGAGAAAATGAACAACAAACTATTTTCTTTTCACGTTTTTTTTGTCTCATCTCTGCTCTAATGTTTTTCTCTAACTTGTCTCTTAACATAACCAGTCCTTTTTTTCCGTGCCAACCCTAACCACTAATATTTGCATCCTGACGTTCCTGATAGTTGGCGACGTTCCCGCTAACATCACTGCAGATTTTGCACACTGTTGCATCATGGGAAAAAGATGGTCCAGCAGTGACACATTTTTTTGTAACCTGTATATTTTGTTTTTCTTTTGTCTCACTGCTCTCTCTGCTAGCTGGACTCCCGTTTGTTATATTCACGGTGACTCACAATCCTTTCCGCCGAGGCTTTTTCTGTAACGATGATTCGATCAAGTTCCCTCTTAAAGAAGACACCATTTCCTATCAGTTGTTAGGAGGTGTCATGATTCCCGTCACGGTGCTCACTGTAAGTGCATCTGGTTTGTTTGTGTTCTACTAACTCTTGTGGTCCTCTTTTGATTTCTGCCTGGCTTTCGTCCACCTCTATCCTTCTCATGTTTCTCTAAATGCATGGTACTGCAGGTGCTGAATACATTATTCTGTCATCTTAAAGGATGCACGATTTATTAAAGCTAATTACCTGGTCCCCCTGATCGTTTCTAACCATAAGTTTCTGCACATATTAGTCAGCTTTCACTCATTAAACCTCCATGTATGTATGCAAAAGTATCAGAAAATAACAAAAGGCTAAGACATATTAGATCTTCGAATATTTATTTAGTGTTTTCTAGTGAAGCACAATACATTAAAGGTGGGGTAGGTGAGTTTGAGAAACCGGCTCGAGATACACTTTTTGTTATATTCCATGGAATGCTCTTAACATCCCGATAGCAATGAATATCTGAAGTGCTTTGACAACAAATCCATAAATAAATATCATCTGTGGAAGCCGTAGTACTGTAAAAAGCACGACCAATCATCTGAGCCGGCCCGGCTAAAATAACTGGATGGCCTACCTGCCTGTCAGCCTTCCATCGGGGCACAAACTTATCTCGTGCCCTCATTGGTCATGTGCGCGTTCGTGTGTGTTGGAGGAGGGGCTCTGTAAGGAAGTGGCAGATTTTCTCCGGCTGAGGGTGTTTCTCAATGTAGAGTACGCTTGCTTGGTAGCACATGTCTGCCGAGCATCTTGCTTCAGAAGCGAGTCAAGAATACTTCCTGGCATTCGGAAAACGAAGAGTGGAACAGGCTAGCAAGTGTGCAGGTGTGCGTCATATGAGAGGCCCCGCCTCTTACATCTTCCGCCACAGATTTGGGGAAATTGGTCCGTGCGCAAAGCATTGTGGGGATTTTAAGACCGCGGAGTCTACTCATGTGCAGCCTCGATATTTCTCCAAACGGAGTACACCGGGCTCGGTAGATTTCCAAGTATGCTGGAGATTGGAACAGGCCTTCGGCGGCACTCGATGATGTAGTATGCTTGAAATAGTGGCTCTGAAGCAGCTTTACTCGCGATTGAGAAACACCCTGTGTATTTTCACATTCTAGCGCACTCGAGCTGGTTTCTCCAAAATAACCTACCCCACCTTTAACGGATGCACACACCACTTCCTGTAACCACATGAGTAGATGCTACACTTTCAAAACCAAAATAAGCCTTTTCTCTCATATTAAATCCTTTTAAATTAACCATTTCCATATATATATATATATATATATATATATATATATATATATATATATATATATATATATATATATATATATATATCTCGTGCATCCAACGTAATAATGTATGCCTGCTCCTTATTGCATGCATAATCCACCCCTAATTAACCCCGTGAGCTAATCTACTAACTGCGTGATGCATTCAATGTTTTCCAAACTCTTTAACGCTGCCAGAGGAAACAGAGAGGCGACCTTAACTCTCTCTGCAGCTGCTGCAGGAAAGTCTGCAGAGAGAGACAGATGTGAAACTCCTCAGAAGAGAAGCAGACGTAACCTTTGTCAGGAATTATAAAAATGTGAAAGCACTTAAAGACAGGCTCAGCAGTTAGAGAGTGAAAATATCCCTTTACTTTCATAACTTAGGACCATTGCACAGAACAATATTTCTACCATATAATTAAGGAGCAAAGACTAGATAGAAATAGTCGATAAGCGGTGCATTTATGAGTAAAAAAAAAAACACAAATTTAAAAGAAAAATTCATAAATTCTCTGAAAGTCATATATTTATAAGGCAAGGCAAGGCAAGGCAAGTTTATTTATATAGCACCTTTCAACACAAGGTAATTCAAAGTGCTTTACAAAAATGGAAGACATTTTAAAAATGGCATTTAAAATCAGTCATTAAAAAGGAAAGATAATAAAATAAACATTAAAAGAAAAAATACATGGATAAAAGTTAAAAGTTACAGTGCAGTTTAAGATGTGAATAGTTCAATTAAAAGCAGCGGCAAAAAGAAAAGTCTTCAGCCTGGATTTAAAAGTAGTAAGAGTTGCAGCGGACCTGCAGGTTTCTGGGAGTTTGTTCCAGATATTCGGAGCATAATAACTGAATGCTGCTTTACCATGTTTAGTTCTGACTCTGGGGACAGAAAGCTGACCAGTCCCTGAAGACCTGAGGGTTCTGGATGGTTCATAATTTAGCAGTAGGTCAGACATGTATTTTGGGCCTAAACCATTCAAAGCTTTATAAACCAGCAACAATATTTTGAAATCTATTCTTTGACACACAGGAAGCCAGTGTAAAGACTTCAGAACAGGAGTGATGTGATCCACTTTCTTAGTGTTAGTGAGGACTCGAGCAGCGGCGTTCTGAATTAGCTGCAGCTTTCTAATAGATTTTTTAGTGAGGCCTGTAAAGACACCATTGCAGTAGTCCAGTCTACTGAAGATAAAAGCATGGACAAGTTTTTCCAAATCCTGCTGTGACATTAGTCTTTTAATCCTAGATATGTTCTTTAGGTGATAGTAGGCTGATTTAGTAACTGTTTTAATGTGACTGTTGAAACTCAGGTCAGAGTCCATGACTACACCTAGATTTCTGGCTTTATCTGTTGTTTTGAACATTGCAGACTGAAGCTCAGCGCTAACTTTTATACGTTCTGCCTTGGCTCCAAAAACCATTACCTCAGTTTTATCTTTGTTTAATTGGAGAAAGTTCTGACACATCCAGTCATTGATTTGTTCAATGCACTTACTCAGTGTTTGAATTGGAGCATAATCTCCTGGTGAAATTGTTACGTAAATTTGTGTGTCATCCGCATAGCTATGGTAACTTATTTTGTTGTTTTTCATTATCTGAGCCAGTGGTAGCATGTAGATGTTAAAGAGAAGAGGCCCCAAGATGGAGCCTTGAGGTACCCCACATGTCATATTTGTCAACTCAGATGTGTATTTACCTATAGAAATAAAGTTTTTTCTGTCCTTTAAGTAGGACTCATATAAGAACATACAAGTGTTCAAAAAAACACATTAATACCAGAGAATATCCAGCTTTTTTCTTTTTATATTGCTCCTTTTAAGCCTTTTAATTAATTAATTATGTATTCAATCATTTATTTAAAGTTATATATTTATTTATTTTTATATAATTATTATCTATTTTTTTTATTCACCAAAAACTTTCCTTGCAGGTTTTATCTCTAAATATGAATGAAAACAAGCTTCCATTCAATAACGTACACAACGTATTCAAGTAAGGTAAAGTGAAGCAGCTCAGTGACAAACAGACACTTTTAAACTTTATTGACACCCTTTTAATTTGACGATTTTAGAGATACAGGAGCTTCGAGGCAGAGTTTCTATTTCTGTTCGAATGAATATCCAGAAAACCCTCCGGCTGTTTTCTGTTGGCAGCGTAACGAAACAAACTCTCGTTCTTTTGAACCACGACAGGAATCTGAGTCACACACACACACACACACACACACACACACACACACACACACACACACACAGGTTTAAAAACGTCTTACTATGACGTCTATCAAGTTGAAAGTGCTTATTTATTTAAATGGACATCCTCCTCCTGCTTTCATATTTCCAACACAATTTACTATCAGATGTGTAATCCTCGTTATGTTCTAAAAACTAAACGAATAGTTCAAATTGTTTGTGATTGAACCCTTTGCTGTGTTTCTGAGCTTAAGATCGATACCACTTTCTTATGTGTGCCTTAAATATGAAGTTACAATAAGCAGCTGATTAGCTTAGCTTAGCATAATGACTGTCTGTGAATAAGGGCAAACAGGTAGCCTCTGCCTCAAAAATGAAAATAAATACTGTATATATAATCCATCTTTAAATAAGGCTGCACGATTTGAAGAACTGTTAAATATAACAGAAGTGATATTTCTGCTGCTTTTGGTTTTAGCTATAAAACTAAAATTGAAAATGCATGTACAGTCACAAAAAAAAGATTAGAGGCATTCCCTGAATCCCTACATTTCGATATCGCAATCTTACACGATGTGTTCATCATGCAGGTGGACATGATAATGTGATAATTATAAAAATAAAAGCTAAATATTGTTCAGCAGTACCTTTTTAAGCAAATCTATATTTCTGGATGCTAGTATCTATGCTATGCTAAGCTAAGCTAAGTTCTCTTTCAGTAGAACAAATGTGTTTACTTGCAAGTTGACATCGCAACGACTTTATTGTGCAGCCTTACCTTCACATCTCACTATTCAGCACGTTCTGGTTTCTTTACCTATACTTATCAGTCTTTATGCTAAGCTAACTAGCTGCAGGTGCTAGCGTAGCCACGGGAGAGCGGTATTGATCAATTTCGAATAAAAATGGTGTTAGATTCTGATTGTCTTTTACCTTTTTAAATCTTTATTTCAGACTGAGTAAGTGGAGATGAAATCAGGGAATGTTTCAGGCTTTCTTGTTGACTTTTTTAATATTTCTGTACAATCCTCTAACCCTGACTCCCCCCCCTCTTACAGATGGTTATTGGCGAGTGTCTTCTAGTTTATCTGGAGCGCCTCAAGTCCAAGTCTTCTTACGGCAGCTACGTGTCATGTGTTTACAAAGCCGTCGGTACCTTCCTGTTTGGCGCCGCTATGAGTCAGTCTCTGACGGACATCGCCAAATACTCCATCGGTCGCCTCAGGCCGCACTTCCTCGATGTCTGCAGACCGGACTGGAACTCCATCAACTGCTCAGTGGGCGATTACATCGAGACGTTCACCTGCCAAGGGGACGCCAAGATGGTCAACCAGGGCAGGTGTGTACTGTTCGATATCTCAGCATTTTAAATGTTGTATTCACTTTACTCAGAGGACTCTTTAAAGTAGACACTACATACTGATATACACCTGAACATCAGCAGGAGAGGACTCTTTAAAGTAGAGACACTACATACTGATATACACCTGAACATCAGCAGGAGAGGACTCTTTAAAGTAGAGACACTACATACTGATATACACCTGAACATCAGCAGGAGAGGACTCTTTAAAGTAGAGACACTACATACTGATATACACCTGAACATCAGCAGGAGAGGACTTTTAAAGTAGAGACACTACATACTGATATACACCTGAACATCAGCAGGAGAGGACTCTTTAAAGTAGAGACACTACATACTGATATACACCTGAACATCAGCAGGAGAGGACTCTTTAAAGTAGAGACACTACATACTGATATACACCTGAACATCAGCAGGAGAGGACTCTTTAAAGTAGAGACACTACATACTGATATACACCTGAACATCAGCAGGAGAGGACTCTTTAAAGTAGAGACACTACATACTGATATACACCTGAACATCAGCAGGAGAGGACTCTTTAAAGTAGAGACACTACATACTGATATACACCTGAACATCAGCAGGAGAGGACTCTTTAAAGTAGAGACACTACATACTGATATACACCTGAACATCAGCAGGAGAGGACTCTTTAAAGTAGAGACACTACATACTGATATACACCTGAACATCAGCAGGAGAGGACTCTTTAAAGTAGAGACACTACATACTGATATACACCTGAACATCAGCAGGAGAGGACTCTTTAAAGTAGAGACACTACATACTGATATACACCTGAACATCAGCAGGAGAGGACTCTTTAAAGTAGCTATAATCAGTGTTTTTCTGGCATTTGTTAAGGTGGTAGAAGTCATTCAAGTTAAAAGACTAATCAACTAATCGTTTCAGTCCCAGGGTGTTGAAACAGACTTTGGTAATAAAACCTAACAAGCAAATTAAATAATAATGACAACCTCTATAGAACCTCTTGAACTGCTGGTTTGTTAGAGCTCAATATCTGTACCTTGCAAGTTATACGATCTGTCAACCTATAAAGTACCTATCATTTGGCTTTCTTTACCTCTTATATGTAAACAAACCATCTCAAACTCAGGCCTCTTCTCTGCTAGGGATGTTAATCTAATCCGAGGAGGAATCATATTTCAGTAATTTGATCCTAAACGACTTCTCTCCTCCTCCTGCTGCTGCTTATTATCTCTATTAGCAGAACACACACACACATTATAAATATGACATTCATCTAGAAAAAGCCCATGACGTCTGCCTGCTGATTAAAATAACCAGACTGCAGAGAGGGGAAGGGGCTCCAGGAAATATGAACCATGGAGCGCCACACCTTGGTAAACACACAGCAGATAACACACTCCAACAACACACACTTTAACCTTCAAGCAGAACACTTTAGGTTCAGGAAACACACAGCAGGGAAGTAGCTACATGTATTTTAGGTACTAAAAAAACCTCAACATCAGTTATTTGGACACTAGATTTAGAACCATTTCACAGCTTTACAACAGGCACCAAACTCCATTGACAAAAACACTATATTAACATTACAGGACACATAAGTTGCTGGTGTTTTTGTACTGCAACCGGTTAGTTTTATTGGGTGACTTCAGATCCACTAAAGTGACCCTTATTTATGCCCTCTTTAAAGTCACCAGACTCCATTGAGAATGTCAGTATTTTAACCCTGCATATCACATTGGTTGCTTATTTACCACTGCATGGATCGGTTGGTTTCTTTGTGTCATTGTGTGACTTTGGTGCTTTAAACGGTTAGTTCGAATTCACCAAAGTGACAAAATAACACGAAGAAAATAACATAATCAATGCATAGGTAGACAAGCATTACCTGTGTTTTGCCAAGTAAAATGACTGTTTCTGTCAATGGAGTCTGGTGGCTTTAAAGAGAGGCTATGTAACAGCTTCAGTTTCGGCCGTAAAAGGCTAGTTCACCAACGTCATACAATAACAAATAAAAACGAACCTAATGAGGCATTGGAGACCAGAAGCTCCTGTGTTAAGTGAGGAGGTAAAAATACTGTTTGTCAATGGGATGTTTGACCGCAAAGTTAAAGGTGGGGTAGGTAATTTTGGAGAAACCAGCTCGAGATCGCTAGAATTTGAAAATACACAACCGGAAAAAATCTGCCACTTCCTCACAGAGCCCCTCCTCCAACACACACGAACGCGCACATGACCAATGAGGGCACGAGATAAGTTTGTGCCCCGATGGAAGGCTGACAGGCAGGTAGGCCATCCAGTTATTTTAGCCGGGCCGGCTCAGATGATTGGTCGTGCTTTTTACAGTACTACGGCTTCCACAGATGACGTTTTTTAATGTATTTATTGTCAAAGCATTTAATGTATTCATTGCTATCGGGATGTTAAGAGCATTCCATGGAATATAACAAGTGTTTCTGAAATAAATTACATACCCCACCTTTAAGCAATGAAAATATTCCAAATACAACATGCACTTGAAATGGTTTAAACAGTTTAAAATGTGCATAGTTTTAGCTATTTTATGACTGTATTTAAATGTATTTCTCTTGCACTAGGTCTTAATGCTTCTAATGGTTTTGTAAAGCACTCTGAATTTGGCCTTGCCTTGATATTGATTCTCTTTAAGGACATTGCTTAGCTTCCTGCTGATACTCCTGTTTCTCCAAACTGCATCTCCTGCAGGTAATACTCTGGCTCTGGATAAAATCCTCATACAAACCCCACAAACATTTAGAGTTCCTTGCTGTCAGACAGCGCTTTAAGAATCTTCAAAGCCACCAAACTCCACTGAAAAAACTTGTAATTGTACCTCCTATATCACATAAGTTTCTGCTCTGGTTTCTTTGTGTTATTGTGTGATCTGGGTGTTTTAAACAGTTTGATCAGATCCACCAAAGTCCCACAATAACACAAGAAAACTAACCTTATCAAGGCAGAGGTTAGACAAGGGGTCTTAAAAAGTATTAAAGGGCATTTACCAAGGTATTACATTTTGTAGCTAGTTTTCAATAAGTATATCAATTGTCCAAAGAGGTTGTATTCTACAGTGTGCCTGAATGTAATCATTGCGTAGGTGTGTAGTGTGATTCTGTGTACTTTATTTATGGCATCCCGTTGGGTTTGACGTCATCTGAACAGGACATCGCACGCTCACTGCTTGATAGCGCGCGAAGGTCCGTTTACGCCGGTTGCTAAGCAACATCGTTATGGGGGAATGCAAGTCTGCGTCCAAATGGTTGGAAGATAAGGAGGAAGGACAATCAATACTGTATATAGTCAATGTGAGGTAAAGTGTGTCGCCAAGGTAACCGGTTAGAACTCCAAGTGGAAAGGGTCCAAAGATCCAAAAATACTTAAAGTTCCAAAAATACTTAAAGTTCCAAAAATACTTAAAGATCCAAAAATACTTAAAGTTCCAAAAATATCGCAAATGGTTGGAAGATAAGGAGGAAGGACAATCAATACTGTATATAGTCAATGTGAGGTAAAGTGTGTCGCCAAGGTAACCGGTTAGAACTCAAAGTGGCGATGAGGTCTTAAAATGTATGGAAAGGGTCTTAAAAAAGGTCTTAAAAGGTCTTACATGTGACTTCAGGGTTCCTGCATATACCCTGGGTTAGACAAGCAACACCTGGGATCTGTCAGGTAAAATAACCGATTGTGTTAATGGAGTCTGGTGGATTTGTAAAAAGGCATTTATAACAGCTTCAGTTCCCCACCTGTCTTTAAGCAAGGTAAGGCTGTGAAATATTCTAAATAAAGTGTTTTAATTTGCCTATTCTAAGCTTTTTCACCTGTTTCCAGCATAAAGACTGGACATGTACTTCATACAACGCCACAAACCATTCAAACTATCCCTCTTGAGTGACTGAGCAGAGATAGAGTTCCTCATAGCCCTTAATAAACCTCTCTAACCCTGATACAATCTGCACAGCTGATGTCACCATTTCGCCCTCTGCCTCTATAATTACTAATGAGAAGTGGAAATCCTCTCCTCCCTCTACACTTCCCTCTGCAGCGAGCCGATAAGCGTCACGCTCCTTAAATCGAAACAAGCTTCACATTCCTGAGATCTTACTCAACGCTGCTGCAAACCAATAACTGAACCCTCACACTGCTGCAGATACTGAACGGAAACGTAAGAGTTGCACCACTTTATAACCGTGTTATCACAACGTTATGAAGTGCACAATCACTCGTAGATTGTTCAGGGACACATTTGACCTTTTGCCCTTTGTACTTACAGCGTGAGCAGGTTACCAAACAAAGGAGAGCACACAGGGTTCAATATACTGTGCGTCAGATTTCTATAATCTGTTAAGCAACAAAAACAAAAACCCAGAGTTCTGCAAATTTACATGAGAAACTAATTTCACAACGTCTAAAAAGGTCAACAATTCCTTCATTTATTTGACTAGAGCTGAGACTAATAGTTATTATATATGATTAATTAATCAATTCCTTGGTTTGTATTTAAATGTAATAATAAAGTGTGGAAAATCTACTTTAAAGAGTCCTCTCCTGCTGATGTTCAGGTGTATATCAGTATGTAGTGTCTCTACTTTAAAGAGTCCTCTCCTGCTGATGTTCAGGTGTATATCAGTATGTAGTGTCTCTACTTTAAAGAGTCCTCTCCTGCTGATGTTCAGGTGTATATCAGTATGTAGTGTCTCTACTTTAAAGAGTCCTCTCCTGCTGATGTTCAGGTGTATATCAGTATGTAGTGTCTCTACTTTAAAGAGTCCTCTCCTGCTGATGTTCAGGTGTATATCAGTATGTAGTGTCTCTACTTTAAAGAGTCCTCTCCTGCTGATGTTCAGGTTTATATCAGTATGTAGTGTCTCTACTTTAAAGAGTCCTCTCCTGCTGATGTTCAGGTGTATATCAGTATGTAGTGTCTCTACTTTAAAGAGTCCTCTCCTGCTGATGTTCAGGTTTATATCAGTATGTAGTGTCTCTACTTTAAAGAGTCCTCTCCTGCTGATGTTCAGGTGTATATCAGTATGTAGTGTCTCTACTTTAAAGAGTCCTCTCCTGCTGATGTTCAGGTTTATATCAGTATGTAGTGTCTCTACTTTAAAGAGTCCTCTCCTGCTGATGTTCAGGTGTATATCAGTATGTAGTGTCTCTACTTTAAAGAGTCCTCTCCTGCTGATGCTCAGGTGTATATCAGTATGTAGTGTCTCTACTTTAAAGAGTCCTCTCCTGCTGATGTTCAGGTTTATATCAGTATGTAGTGTCTCTACTTTAAAGAGTCCTCTCCTGCTGATGTTCAGGTTTATATCAGTATGTAGTGTCTCTACTTTAAAGAGTCCTCTCCTGCTGATGTTCAGGTGTATATCAGTATGTAGTGTCTCTACTTTAAAGAGTCCTCTCCTGCTGATGTTCAGGTTTATATCAGTATGTAGTGTCTCTACTTTAAAGAGTCCTCTCCTGCTGATGTTCAGGTTTATATCAGTATGTAGTGTCTCTACTTTAAAGAGTCCTCTCCTGCTGATGTTCAGGTGTATATCAGTATGTAGTGTCTCTACTTTAAAGAGTCCTCTCCTGCTGATGTTCAGGTGTATATCAGTATGTAGTGTCTCTACTTTAAAGAGTCCTCTCAGAAACACTGTATTGTTTTTATTAACAGGAAGTGACTAAGGGTTTCACCACATCTCTCTCAGGAGTCGCTGCTCATGAAGGCGTCAAACTAACTGACAAACTGTCACATCGACTCCGCCTTAAACGCCAAACAATGCTGATGTGTGTGTTGTTGTGTGTGTCTGAAGGATCATTCATTTATACTTTAACGTGTTGTTTTTGTGTCCTTGTCTTGCAGGCTTTCTTTCTACTCCGGCCACTCCTCTTTCTCCATGTACTGCATGCTGTTCCTCGCTGTAAGTACCTGGAACACTTTACATATTGATCTGCACTCGTATCCATTTCTATTCACTGGAACACAAACAGGACACTTCGTGCAAATTATAAAATTATTTTTTTGCACATCAAGCTTCGGAGAAAATGTGACCTCGATAGTGATCCACATTAAAGGGCCCATGTCATGGCCATTTCCACTGATCATAATTACATTGTTGAGGTATACTAAAATAGATTTATACTGTGCAATTTTCCAAACTCACATTGGTTTCGCATACAGCATCTCTGTCAAGCATGTGTATTCAGCAGTATTCACTTTCTCCACTAAACGACTCGTTGGAGCTCTTGCCCCCCCCCTCCCTGTGAGCCTAGTGTGCTCCGATTGGTCAGCTCGGCCACTCGTTCTGATTAGTCAACCACCAGAGAGGCTGCGCCCATGTCAGTGCTTTTCCCGGCTGCTCTCAGCGTAACATCAGTCTTATCATGGCGTCGGTACAGCGGTATATTTTATATACATATATATTTTTAACTGTTGTTATAGAAGAGTGTGACGGCCCCAGGGCCTTTGTCTTACGATGGGGTGGAGCTGAAGAGGGTAATCAGCGCGATCACGGACACCTCCGGACACTACGGCCCCAGTCTCTCTCCAAAGCGGCTGCAGGAAGACTAACTCTGCGATCCTCTCAACCACCTATCTTTGCATTTACCACAATAAATGTGCCGTGGTTTTGTAAACTCGTGTATGTCTCCTTGTCTTTCCGTTGTGGCCTACGAGCTACTCTCATAACAAAGAGTAAGTTATTTTTACCCGTTATAAACTACTACTGTTTGATGAGAAATCAAATCATGGTTTGCTATATATGAATTCAGGGAAGAAAGGATAGGCCTACTAAGTATTTCCATTAAACTTTATTTTTAGAAATGTACAAAATGAACATAAATATACATATATACACGGTATATCATCCATTCCTCCTCCTCTTGCCTGCGCACAGCCGGTGCGGTGCGGTGCCTTTTAGCACGAGGCCTCAGTAGTAGTAGAATCCCTTCCCCGTCATGGATTGTCCGCCAGGATCTGGCTGGACGAAATCAAATGCAAATCACAAAATATTAGAGAAACTTAGTTGTTTTAGATTCGTTAGTAGTAGTTGTGTAATGAACAGCTTGCCTGCTAATATGCTAACCTAGCTTTGTTTACCTTGGTAGCTAACACGATATGAACGTTAGCTTGGAGGAAAGGCAACTATAATGCAGTGTAATAAAACTACTATGAACAAAAGCTAGTGGTTCATATTAGGCTAGCAATAACGTGTTTATAATTGCAATCGTATACGGGTATTCTGCTACCATACAATGTAACTTGCATGAATACATTGTTTTGCGCTAGCATACAGCTAGCCTCGTTAGCTACATGCAGTATATGTACGGTCACAATGTACGGTAAACCGGAGTATACTGTATGAGTATTCCGTGTGTGTGACTGCAGACATTCTCCTGCCATGACAAACATGTAAGGCCATCTGCTGACATTGTAGTTGATATATTTAAACGCTAGCAACGTAGCATCACAAAAATGTTTTTCTGACCAAAACTAGCTCAAGCTCCGTGTGTTAGATCGCTACGCCAGCTATAATGTAATTACGTTTCGCGACTGACCGGCAAATCACCCGCAGTATACTGTCAATAGGTATTTTGTGTGTGAATGCAGACATTCTCCTGCTATGAGATACATGTATGCAAGGCCATCTGCTGATATTAGAGTTGATATATGGAAACTCTAGCAACTTAGTTAGCACTGTGTCAATGGCTTAGCAGTCCAACACAGTTTACACATTTAAACAGTCTTGTTTGATAAATACACAAATAACAATGCAAACTTACAGGTTGTATACCCAGATCTTCCCCTGCTCCAAACGGTCCAAACAAGCTGTGCATATCCGGCCTCAAACTGGGCAATGTTTTGGAAGCTTTCGTCTGTGAAATGCCGGTTCTTCGAACCTCTGGAGGAGGAACACGCCGCTGCTGGTGTGGCCATAGCTCTTCGGGATTGGTCCATTTCGTTCCGGGTACCGCATGACATCAGGCGGTACCCGGAACTAAATGGAAGACTCAAATGGGCAGTGACGTATCTCCAACGAGGCGTTTTGGGGAGGTATTTTCTGTGTTAGAGTTTTACTCGCTACAGGGTGTACTTTGAGGGTTTTGACTCTGCACACCGTTTACATGCATAAAAACCTTCATAACACACAAGGGGACGGGTAATAACCGGAAAAGCATGACATGGGAGCTTTAAGGGAAGAGTTTGACATTTGGGGAATACACTTATCTGCTTACTTGCTTCCAATAAATACAAATCTGCTGGCTGTTAGCTTAGCTTAGCATTAAGGGGAAAACAGATAGCCTGGCTTTGTCCAAAAATAACAAAATGACCTACAGACATATTATACTATGACGTTTTTTATACATTTCTACGCCACAAAATGAATGTCTTCATAATTTTTGACATACAATACATGAACATATTATTGGCATACTATGCTTTAAATATATTATTGCACACTCTACTGACTTGTACAAAAAGTGACATACTATACCAGGGCCGTCCCTCCCTACAGGCCGATCATGCAGACTGCGTGGGGCCTCACCTTGCGGAGGGGGCCTCATCTTGCGGAGGGGGCCTCAACTGAGCCAAAAATGCGGCACAATTAGTGTGGCGCGGCACGGTTTCTCCGCTGCGAGGCTCCACTAGCACCGTCCCCTCCTCCCCCCGTCGACGCTCGTGAAACAGAGGGCCTCATCATATAAAGGGAGGCTGTGACTCAGTGGGTTAGTGCGCTGATCTTCGAATCAGAGGATAGCAAGTTCGAGTCCCACTGCAGTCAGCATGTCGTTGTGTCCCTGAGACACTTCACCCCAAATTGCTCCTGTGGGGATTGCTCACAATACTTTGGATAAAAGCGTCTAACAAGTTAAATGTAATGTAATGTAATAACTTTGCGTGGGGCCTCATGTTGGCCATGGACGGCCCTGTACTATACTATGACTTTTCTACTGTACCACATTTTGAATAAGATATGAAATGACATGTTTAGTGTATACTATACCATGACTTGACCAATGAGGCTCACTAAGTAACACCTTACATGTTATTAATTCCTAATAAACCAACATGTAAAGATGACCCATTATGTGTTGCCTTTAATCAGAGGCGTGCTAGCTTTTCCATCCGTTTCCAGTCTTTATGCTAAGCTAAGCTAACATTGTCCTTTCTTAAGCCTTTCATTTAAATGTAACAGACATGTGAGTGGTATCTAACTTTTCATCTGATCCTCTAAAACTATTGCTTTGAACTCCAGCGCTTTAAGATTTGAATATTTATTTATTTATTTGTACGCCCTGAGGGCCGTTAAAGCTTGATAAACATATATACATTAGATGGGTGTTTGGCTGATGTGGGGGATGTAGAGACAATTATTATTGGAGACTGGAACACGGATATGCAACGTAAAGACACGTCCGTCTTCAAGTCCTTCAGTAGGATTTGTGATCTGCACGGCTTCAGCCAGCTAATCACCCAACCCACCCGGGTATGTGAAACAACACAAACTACCATTGATCTCATTCTGACCTCTGACAGGTCCAGGATCTCCAGTAAAGGGGTTATAGCATGCGGTTTAAGTGATCATTATATGATATTCTGTACCCGCAAAAAGCTAAAACAAAAGGCCGGCTGTCACAAAACAGTCATATCTAGAGACCTCAAAAACTACTCTAGCGAGGCCTTTAACCTAGAACTGGAGAGCCTGGACTGGTCAGATGAGCTCAGTGGTACACAAGTTGAAGAAACATGGCTTGGTTTCAAAAACAAATTCTCTGCAATACTCAATGATTTGGCCCCCCTAAGAACAACCAGGGTAAAAAATCGCGCTGAGCCGTGGATGCACTCCGGCATACTGACCGCCATGAAAACCAGAGACAAAAAATGCTCTGAGTTTCATAAAAGTCAGTCAATGCTTTCCAAAAGCACGAGCAGTGAACTCCAGGCCCACGTGACTGAACTAAAAATTGAAAGAAACAGACTAAGAAATGACGTAAGCTCCATGATCAAAACTGCCAAAAAGAATTTCATCAATGACAAAACTGAGGAAAACAAAAATAAACCCCGTGAACTTTGGAAATTACTCAATAACCAGCTTGGCTGCAGTAAAAAACTCAAAACGAGATTTTCAAACGTAAACATAAAGACAGATAACAGGCTCATCACAGACAAACTGGATGTGGCAAAGTACTTGAACATTTTTTTCACAAACATAGCCACAACTCTTGTAAATAAATTACCCTCCCACTCAGGGCTTTTTGGAGTAGATCACATCATGACCTACTACAAAAACCTAGGGGTACGCAAAGATGATTTCAGTCTAGCAAGGGTAACAACAGCAGAGGTACTCATTAAACTGAGCGCCCTCAAACCTAACAAGGCCACTGGCCACGACAATATCCCCTCCAAATTCCTCAGAGACACAGCAACCGCCATCTCACCAGTCATAGCTCACATAATTAACCTCTCCATAAAACAGGGAAAAGTACCCAAAGACTTCAAAATTGCAAGAGTAACCCCCCTGCACAAAAAGGGCAGCAAATTGGACCCAGGCAACTACCGCCCTGTTTCTATACTTACCTCCATCTCGAAAGTCATGGAAAAAATAGTGTATGAACAGGTCGAAAAGTACCTCGCAGAAAAGAAACTAATCTATGAATTTCAATCTGGCTTTAGAACATCCCACTCCACTGACACATGCCTTCTTTATTTGACCGACCACATCAAACAAGAGGTGGACGAGGGTAAATACTGCGGCATGGTGATGCTGGACCTACAAAAGGCTTTCGACACTGTCAATCACCCCATTCTGATTGACAAGCTAAAAGCAATTGGTTTTGATAAACTATCGGTGAGCTGGATGCAATCCTACCTGGAGGGGAGAGAACAGATGGTGGAGGTAAACGGTACTCTGTCCCCCCC